GAGGCCGCGCGCCACTCCTGTCAGACCCGGGGCTCCGGACGGCGCACTTCCGGTCCCAACGGCCCTCGCGTCGCCGCGCATGCGCAGAGCGAAGTTCGTGCCCTCCGCCCATATCGCCTCCGCGCAAGTCCAGTGTGCGAGCACGGCCGGCGGTCCCGGCAGGAATGGCGGGAGCGAGGTCTGGGGTTGGGAACCGACCTCCGCGAGGTTTGGACCCTCGGAGCCGTAGTGGTAGTGCACGGCGCTGGAGAGAGGCCGGTGGCCCCACAGCCGGAGGACAGCAGTGAAAATGCCCGACCGCAGGCCGGGCTGGCTCGCGGGGTTCTGGTCGAGCGCGGACCGGGAGATCGTGGGTGAGCGTAGGGCGAGTGCGCAGTAAGGTGCCTCCGGTGAGCTGACTCGGGGTGCGGAGTCTTGCCTGCTCTCTGTATGTCGGTCACCGAAAAGGGCAGTGGGCACAAAAGGGGTCACATTGTCCGCGGCCATGGTTTTGACAGCAGGCACGTGGCAGGAAGTAGACGCGAATGGTACTCCTGGCTCAAACAGGCGGGGGCGGGGGGGGAGCAGGAGTGCGGGTACTGCTGCGATCAAAGCTTGGGAGGGAATGAGGGTGGGAGGCGGGTGTAGGAGGGTTGCTCAAGTGCTGTTGTGGGGCAGGGGGAGGTCAAGACAGAGGGAGCACACTCCAGGTGGCAACAGGGTCTGCGGGGCTTCAGGAGCCCACAGCAAGAAAGGCTGAGGTGCTCCTGGAAGGAAGGTGGAGGCCCGGGCTAAGCTATGGTCCAGATGTGGGCACTGGAACCAACTGCGCTCCTGTTGGCCCATGCTCAGGCTCAGGGCACACCTGACTCTAATGGCTTGGCTGACTTTGGCAGGCCCTGCGTCACTGCCCAAGCCTTCGTGGCACATGCTGTTCTCCAGGGACACTCCCCACCACACTCCATCGTCCTCCTCAGGTGCTGGGACTAGTTTGGCATGAACACGGGTTTTCTTTGAGTGGGGAAGGCTGTGGATTAAAAACAGACGCAAGAACAAACACACCAAGACACATAGGTATAGAAAATCGAGGATCAGGTGGGCAGTTTTTTTGATGAAGCTGTGATTAGAGTTAGCTTTAGGTTTATTTTTCTAAAGGACAGAAAATGGGGGAAGGGGAAAATGGGATGCAAAAGTAATGGGGAAGGAAGTGGAATACAAAGAGAAGGGAGGAGAAACCGGAATGCAAAGCCAGTTTTTGGATGTAAATCGTCCGAAGATGTGAAAATGACTGGCACCATATAATTTGATTTTTTTGGGGGGGGGACAATCTGATAAACACACGTGACTTCCTCTAGCCCAGTAGAGCAGTATTGGGGTGTCGGGCATTAACAAAAAGAACCATTGACAGCAGGCAGATACTGTTTTCTAAGTAGATGCTTCTCAATACCCCTGCTAGAGTAGCTTATGGAAGCACATTTCTGCATGTGTCTTCAGGCCACATGTTCTAATCACATGTTTCAGATGGGTTGCTCCACATATCCCCCCCTTTTTTAAGCGTGTTTCTACATGTGTTTATAGGCCACATGTTTTAATCACGTTTTCAAATGAACTGCTCTCCAGAGTCAGGCTTCAGTCCTGAGACTACAAAGAATTCTGTGGCTTGTGTGTAGGGGAGATTGCCAGTCACCCCAGGGGCCAGCACCCAGCCAGGCTCTGCCGAGTTCCTGTAATTCTGGAAGGCTGGGAGATTCCAGTACTGAGGGGTGTGTGAGCAGAGGAGCAGGGCTCATTCTGGTGCAGCGGCCGTGTGCTCAGTCCCCCAGCAGGACGGAGGCCTCGCGCACGTGCTGCCGCACCACCAGGTCTAGCAGGGCATGCACATCTCGGGCAGCCTGTGCGGCGGCCTCCAGCACTTGCTCCAGGTGGTCCTCATGCAGACGGGCATCCATCTCCAGCAGGGCGATCTGGCCAGAGGCAGGCAACAGGGCCAGAGCCAGCTGCGGACCGCCAGCTGCTTCCTCCACGTGGCTGAGGTCTGCCAGGGGTGTGCCATCCACAAAGCCAGCTGAGCATGCACACACAAAGTCCCGCAGAGGAATCCCAGCATCCAGCACTGCCAGTGTGGCTGCGTTCACGCAGGCCGCATAGGTTCCGCCATCTGCTTGCAGCACCTGTGTGACCGCAAGTGCATCAGTTCATCAGACTGCTGTCCTCACCCTCAAGCAGTCCCCACTCTCCTCACAGGCCAGCCCCTTCCTGCCCAGGGCTGCCGCCCACTCCACTGCACTCGCCTGCACATAGATATCGATCTGGGAGCGCGGGTGCAGCTGAGTGAGGATGGCCGCTTCAAACGTCTGACGGAGCTGCAGACCCATCTCACAGGACTTACGGTCCCCATGTGGCCGGCGCTTGCGCTCTCCTGTGCTGAAAGTCGCTGAGCTATACTGACAGTTCACCAGTGCCCGGTCAGGCAGGGCTCTCGCCCTGGAGCCCCGAATCTGGAAGAGGAAGGACACATGAGCCTGGCAGTGGTCACTCCTCTCAGCACACCCCAGTCCTTGTGCCCTGACCCCGTTGCAGGCCTCCATCTAAAACACCCAAGAGGGCCACCTGCCCGTCTGTGAGCTGCCTTCAGCTCTGGTGCTCATCTGGGCACCTCCTGTTCAGCCTCACCCCATTCCCACCCAACCTATTCACCTGGTGGCCAGAACGGTGACGAACATTGTCCTACCCGCGCTTTACCGTCCAAGGGCTTCCCAATATGTGTGAAATAAAACCCCACATCCCTCCCTGGTCTACAGAGCTGAGCCCTCATCTCTCTGAACCGCCCCCCTCTTCATTTGGAATGATCTCCCCTCCCCACCAGCAGTCAGTCGCTCTGCTCTGCAGAAGTGCCACGCTCGTTCGCGCCCCTGGCCTGGAAAGCTGGGCTCCCGCCATCGCACTAAGCCAAAGCGTTGCAGTGCCTTTGCTGGAGACGGCAATAATTAGCCTGTGCTCAGAGATCTTATGTTCCAGTGCGAGACGAACGATGAGGGAGAGTCAGTGAAACTGACGGCCGAGATGGTGCGTGCGCCCGCCCCAGC